CCACAGCTAACTTGCCACGGGACAACTTTCCATGGGACAAGAGCTTCCCTAATATCAAAGAAATGGTGGAATGGAGTCATTAAAGAAAGAATGCAAAAGGAGGGACAAAAATGAAATGTGAATGAGAAAAATTAAAATAATATTTGAATTATTTTAAATAATTAAATTGAATTGTTAAATTGTCCCATGGCAAATTGTCCCTTGGTGAGTTGGTCACAATAAGTTGGCCGTGGCAAATTGGCCAAAGCAAGTTGTCCCATTCCAGATGGTAGATATTTAGTGCTGGTAATTTAGACTAGTTGCATTTATATGGTTATGAGAATCACTTTGCGAAGACTTTTCCTTAACCAATAGCTTCAATCACTGAATCAATACCTGTATTATCTTTTGGAAAGAAACACCAGATGACTCCAGCAATACTTGAATCAAAACAGCATCCTTTATTATAGCATTCCTTAGCACTGATGTAGGGGTATCCACAGTTCACTCTGGCATTCGGTTGCACTTGGCATTGTCCTGGAACTGTTAAATACAGTCTAAATTAATCTAGTATAATAACGTATTTGGGGAAGGGTAAAACCATTAGGGTATTTGATTTGTAAAACAAAAAATTCTCCGCTCAAATTTGAATGCTAAATACTCTTAAAAACAGATATCAATCAAGTCTAGAATTGTCTTTAGATATGTTGATGCTTTAGACAGGGGAGCAAATGCAACCCCTTCCCTCAGATTCAAAGCGCTATAAATCAGTCAAGAAGTTTGGCCACCCGAGGATGAACATCTGTAAAAATATTGTAACAAAGAATATGTACAGTACTAGGAATGCCAGGAAGATTCTGCCTCCCCTTCACATGTTATCAAATGCTGACAAAATTAATATTGATGACAAAAGGCTGCTGCAGAAAGTGTAGAATAGGCAGCTTTTATATAAACTGAATCAATAATTCCCAGTAAAGATTTTTAAAAAGTTCCACTCACGTAATTTCAGGAAAAACCCATTAGCCAGGCTGCT